ATATATATATATACGGCAGTTGATCCATGTATGCTGTGCATGCACACCCTAGGGTTATTCATACTGCTGTATACATGGTCAATAGTAAAGCATAGAAAACACATGTTTATGAGAATCGTGTACTAAAACAACTTTGTGCGTCAGTACGTTTATATTATTGTCTAAAAGGCACACCGTTTATTTATTTATTGGTTGGAGGTAAAATAACACAATATAACATCAAATTCAACATGTTACATAAATTAATCTTAGGTCAACCTACCATTATAAGTGATTCGGAATTGCTGTACATGGAGAAATTGATGTCATGAGCTGGCACATCTCCAATGGTTGATAAATCATCCACGTTGGTTCCTTGCTGTGTCTCTGGATGCCGTCCCTGTTGCCAGTACTTGGTATGTGGAGGATGGTAGCGATGCTGATAACGATAACCGTGATGAGTAGTGTATGAATGGTGTTCGTAGTACCTATCGTGGTAAAAAAAAAAAGATAAACAAAAAGAAATAAACAAACAAATACATAAATAAAAAAAAATAAAAAATTGAATACCGGTATCACTACCTTGGGTTCCCTACTACTACTACACAGCGTTAACCCACCGCGACGTCGATGCGACGTGTCCTATTAGTGGTAATGGCAGTAATAATGGAAGTCCTTGCTGAAACCCCTGTTTTGTTTTGTAGGTGTATAGGGCACCTGGGAGGGGGCGGAACATAAAAAAGAGCCATGTTGGAAATCACATCTAGTTTATGTGTACACAATTTCCTGTACGTCCGTTCACCTCCATTGTTCTTCGAGTATCAGGCATGTATAACCATTAAACAACACTCATCGGTTTGGCCGGGTTTTTTTTTCATTATACTGAATAACCAAGTGTCTTTGTCTGAAAATTTCTTTATAATTTAATGTCCTAAAAAAATTTCTATTTCATAATACTGCCAATTTTATACATTTTCATACCTCGATAAAGATATATTAAATGAATAAACAGTATCGAAATGTAAAAATATATATCTGTACTGTAACATTCGTCCACTTTGAAATGTATAGGCCTATATTATTTAGACCACTCTGGAAATAATCCTGGAGGGATCCCAAATATCAACATTACAGTGTGCTTCTTGCTTTGTTTCTTGTTTTTTTTTTTTTTTGTCACGTTTTCGTATATTTTGTTATGGTATCAAATAATAAAAATCTTAAGATAAAAAAAAGCTTCCAACATAAGGTGGCTAATAATATAACGAAAGTGTGATAAATTTCATCGGTTTATTCGCGTATACATTTCTAACTGTGTATCAAAGCAAAATCAGTGTAGATAAGCCAAGTAGATAAAACAATAAATATATTTTATATGAATTTGTAAAATCATATAGAAAACAACCATGTCATCTTTCAACGCAATATTATGATTCGGCCTATTGTCACTATACGTGCAAGTCCTATTGATAATAATAAGCTATATTATAGGCCAAATTTTCATGAATTATTATTAGAGATCCATTAATACTACGTGCCTATATTTACTTATAAAAACTTTCTCTTAATCAAGGGATTACTAATTGTTGGTCAGTGCCTCATTTATTTTTTAAGGTTTCCCCTCCATCAATTATTTCACCAATGGTATATTATTTCAAATTCAATTTTATTTAAAAACCTCCGAAACGGAGAGATAAAAAATACGTAAAAACATTCACTTAAGTAACAACGCATCAAAATACATGAAAATCAAACTACTAAATTTCGATCAAATAGAAAAATATTTTACTTAAATAAAATAATGAAATAAGTATAAATTATAATAAAACTTAACTCTTAAATGTTGCCATAAATTGTCTTTTCCATTACATTTTAAACAGATATATTTTAAATACTGTCATAACATTACCAGTTAATCCATCTTCATTATCGGTATCTTGACGTACAAACAAAAATGGTGGTTGTCGCGTACGTTGTTGGTCTGGTCGGTGTGTGTGTAACAACTCAATATTATAATGAGCTTTGGTCGCTAATTTATGTATGCTGATTGAGTATTAAATTGGATTAAAAAAATTATAAATGATTTTGTTGTGATTAACAACCTGTCGAATAACATTATAATAATAGTATATTATTAGGAATAGCAATTTTTGCTATCATTTAGTGTGTTTCGAACTGAGACACTTTGGGAGGTCTCACAGTTCAGTAAGTGCAATAAAAAATTCCAAGATTTAGAGTCGCTTTTAAAAAAATTGTAAATTAAGTCCAGTTAGTTATTAATAATGGTACAGATATTAATCTAGAGTATTTAGATAGGACCAATCAAGGTTTCCAAGTTTCTCGCAAGTCGTGGGAGTTTCCCGGAAATCTAGATGGCCTCCTGCAACCAAGCAAAATTCTTCCTTAGAATAAGCCATATCATGCAAATTAATTAAATCTGTATTTTTTTACTACTGTATTTACCCCTTTATTAGCATTTGTCTCATGGAAGTAAGTGTCAAAGTGTATCACCAAATGCACCAAAATAAAATTGAAAGTGCTAAGTAACTTTCAACTTTGAACCCGTCTTAACAAGTCGAAATTGCTGTTTAGTTGTGGTGTGGCTGAAGACAAGGTCAATAAAAGACAACCTATACAGTACAAGAAAATGTGTTTTAATGTAGCTCCATGATGCAACATATAAGACTTACAAGGTACTTTTAAGGGTAAAAACAATGTGTAAAGCTTGATTCAGTTGAAAACTAAACAGGGGTGGTGCCAGCGGGGATGCCGGGAGGGGGCTAGGGCCCCCGTTGGGGAGAGCTGGCCCCCACCGTCGGGGAGAAAAAGCACAATTCGTCGGGAAGAAAAAAATAATTATATTTATTTTTTACATATTAGTAGACTCCAAAATCGATTAAATAAGCCTTTGAAACCCCTAAATTGTCAAAATTTTCGGGGCTCACCCCCAGTACAACTTTTGGAACCTTTTAATCGAAGCTTGACCATGGCCACTTTGCTTTCATTGGGGAAATCTGACCCCTCGTCGGGGCACCGCCCACCACCTTGCCTTTGCCTTTCGGGCAAATTCTGGCACCACCAATGAAACTAGATCATTGACGTTTATAGAAATTTAAATAAATACAATATTAAAATACAGGTATAAAAAACATTTAAGAAGAGTCAATTTATATAGAGTAATAATAATAATAAAACAATATGTTATATTCATTGTTGAAAGATGAACAGTACATGACTCATGAAAATATTTTTTTTTCATTATGCAAACTAAAACAATCATTATATCTCCTATAATACCTGTACACCTAAATAGATTCTTGGTTCTTAAAAAAATATTGTTAAGTAAAACATTATTCGGAATGAAACAGTACATCTTCTTCCAACAAGTGAAAACATTGTATTAGGTTGAGGCATGCAATAGAACAAAATTAATCCAAACTTTGCTCTGGGAGTGTGGTTAACAGTGTTTTGGAAATGCAAGGAAAAATGCTATAAAAGCAAACAAGTAACAACTAAATGACACGAAGAATAATGCAAATGATAAGTTGGCATTAAATGTAAATATGCAATGTCACATGATATTAACTCCACCAATCAAATGACAAGGATCTATTTAGGTGTGTTATAGTATAGACTGTTTTAAGTTTGTTATAGTTTTGCTTTCCATGATAGGTCTGACTTCAACATGATTTTCTCAAAGCTTTCAGACAGAAAGGCACTATGTCACCTCAATGCAAGGTCTGAGTGAAAGTTTCTACGCCAGTAACCATGCCAGCAAGTTTATTCCAATAGTGTAGGAATATGTCTGAAAGCAGCACATGTTGAAATACAAACTCAATGTTAGATATTTGGAGTTCAAAAATGTCATCTTGGCCAAAGGCATTTCATACTATTCCATTATGGAAATTCATCTTGAATAAAAGTATAAAGGATATTATTTGACTTAAAACTTTAAAATATTGTGAGTTTTTTATGCTGGTTTCTTGAATTTTGATTTTTCTGCAGTACACTTTCTGATGACTTCAACCTAAGAAGATAATTTTCCATTTCATTGATCTTTTCCTGCATGTGAACAGCTGTAGCCTTGTCTCTGTTAGGGAAAAATAATTTAAAAAAGATACATAATATATTGAGCAAATAATATATGTTCTGTAATAATGTTCAGCAGCATCAACAACACCTGAAACACTAACAACAACAGCGGCAGCATCATTGAAAGATCAGCAACAGTTGCAGTATGAGCAACAACAACAGCAACAAAATCAACAATAACAGGTACAACATCAATAGCAGCAATAATAACAATAACAGTTGCAGCAATGGAAGAAGTAACAACGATAACAGCAGAAGCAGCAATCACAGCAACAACAACTAATAATGATAACGATTTGTAAAGCACAAACGTCACCACCAAAATTGGTGCTCAAAGCGCAACAACAACAACAACTACAGCAACAATAACAACAGCAGCAATAACAGTATCAGCAACAATAGCTGCAACAACAGCAATAATAGCTGCAACAGCAAAAATACGAACATCAACAATAGCAGTATCAGCAACAATAATTATAGCGAAATCAGCAACAGTAGCTGCAACAGCAGCAACGACAGCAACAGCAGCAGTAGCAGTATGAGCAACAATGATAGCAAAACCAGCAACAGTAGCTGCAACAGCAGCAGCAACAACAACAGAAACAGCAGCAGTATCAGCCAAAATTATAGCAAATCAACAGTAGCAACAGCAGCAATGGTAGGTTGTTGACCTGTGGTCTGAATTATAATACAACTGAAAAAAACCCAAAGACTACCTTGAATTTCGTTGAAGTGAATGCTTCTTGTGAGCCAAATGCTTCTCTACTTTTCTAATTTCTTCCTGTGTTTGAACAAGCTATTAGTATTGCAAAAAAATAATTTGAGACAGTTAACAATATAACACTCAAACAATAAAATAATGAGGAATAATAATAAATGTAGCACAATAATAAATTGCAAATTTTTAAACAATTAATGTTGGATTGGATTGGATTTATTCGGTTTAATCACCAAGGATAGCCAACGAAAGTCTAGAAGAAGAATATTTCCAGTGGGAGAGGATAGCCCAAGAAAGTCTAGAAGAAGAATTATTTCCAGTGGGGTCCTTCTGGCGGTGACTGGCAGTACACTGGGAGACAATCCCCTACTCTTTTCTGAAGAGTGTACTGCGTTCTTTAACGTGCACATGGGCCATAAATGCACATGGGACCAACAGCTTAAATGTCTCATCGGAAATATGGTGCGCTATGTAACTTGTATTCCACCCCTCCAGCTGAAACACAAGTAGAGGCAGCGATAGGAATTCAACCGGGGACCTGTTCAGTAAAAAAGTTTACATTGTTACGCAATATTCCATTGTATTATTTTATTATCATTTCTATTATTTAATTACCTTTATATTGAGTCCTCGTCCTGCGATTAAACTTGATTGTCCCTCACTGGAGCCACCAGCCCCATCGCCTTTCTTTGGTAGACCCGTCTTTTTAAGAAATTCATTTACTTTTGCTGTTATAAAAAGATAATATATCATTGATAATATATGAAAACATCATTCGGAAACAAATATAATCCATCATATTAATGATATATAAAATGTGTATTGCAATGAAACACATTTAAAAAGACAGTGGCTATATTGTTATGTCAGTTTTAAAGCAATTCATAATTCTGACTGGATGTTATTGTCCTAATCGAGTCCATAAAATAGCATCCAATCTAAATTGGTTTAAGACTGGTGTAACAATTGCCACTACCTTCAAGAAAATTATCAATAATCTTAAGAAAGAAAAAATCTTAGCAACTTTGAACTTTTACTCCAACTCCACCTGCTATTTTAGTAAACTAGGAGATGGAATCTTCTCCAACTAGAATCCAACTCACCTAAAATGCACTCCATCTGTAATTTCCTCCTAGAATATCTAACACCTGAAATCCTAGCCATTTGAAATTCTCCACCTACAGTACAAATTTCTCCTCCCAGAATAATACTGCAGGTGGAGAATTTTCTACTACCTGTATATATCTATGCCATTTGGAATGTTCTCTCCCTGGAATACTGTACCTTCTCTCTAACGATAGCTATATGACAGTTTGTACCCTTTTGCTAATTAATAGATAACAGGATTTTCTATTTTGTAAGTTATTTGCTATCCTAAAATATCATTTGAATAAAATTGAAAACAAAATAATGTTCACATTCAAAATGCTTACATTTGCGTGTGCCAAGCCTTGAATTAATAAAGTCAAAGACATTTTCCTTCTTTTTCCTTGCTTGATTCCCTGCCATAAAGAATCCTTTCTGTTTTTTCTTTCCAACAATTTTAAGCTTTTTCTTCTCTTTTAACTCCATGCAATGATCTAGAGATTTTCCTTTTAAATGCAAAGTTTATAATAGATATATAACATTTAGTAAAATAACAAACAAGCAATTGTTGTTTTGAATTTATATACAAATGAATATTCTAAAACACTGAAGGTGTATTTAAAGAATACAATGAATTTGTACAAAAAATATCGAAGTTTGGCTTTATTCTATCAACTACAGCTCCATTGGAATGACAAAAGGGAAATTCTTGTGACCTTAAATATATATTTGTAACATCAAGGGACAAAAATACAATAATCTACCAATTTATGTGCCTCTTTAATAAAATGGTATTTTTTAAACAAACAATAAAAAGTCAAGCTGAACCAGGCTGACAACTGTTACATTTCTCTTTATAAATGTTTAAAATCCTTATGAAATACAAGTACCATAAATCCTTGAATAAGCGCAGCGTGTATTCGAGAGCGGTGCTTATTCGAGAGCTGTGCTTATCAAAAAATATTGTCATTGCGCTTTTCATGCCCGTTCCCATATTACCTATCTCATGTATTCCTATAGTTTGGTAGGCCTATCATAGGCTCTACATCATCGTGTCTTCATTCTGTATACTTGTTCATTTGACCACTGTATACATTGCATTTAAAACCCTGTTTCTCAAAGTGCTTCATTATACATAGATAACATGTACTGTCGATTAAAGAGGCACTTCATCAAAATAGAATGAACAGTACTCTTATATGAGAGCGGGCTTAGCGAAAAAAATCAAGTTTGGTGCGGTGCTTATTCGAGAGCGGCGCTTATTTGAGGATTTACAGTACATAATACTTTGTGTTTGCATATTATAAAAGAAACGTATTTTTTTACATAGAATAAATTACCTTGTGGAACAATGACGGCTTCTACCGGTTCTACACGTCCTTCACCATTCTTACCAAGGCCCTTCCTGCAAGGCAGGCAGAAAATTTAAACAAAATATGTGTATTATTGTAACATTTTTTTTTTGTTTTTTAATTCCATTCACATCCAACAGAAAGTACATTCGCCCCTTACAGGGTGGAACGACGCTTTAGAAACCAAGTCTTTTTATGAAGCTTAGGGAGTAGAGCGGTTTTTGGTTATGCAGTATTTCATTACTAAATGGTGAGAGTACATGGTTGTTGTTGTGTGTGTTTGGTGAAATAAATGTTTACAAAATAATGCACTAAACACACACAACAACCATGTACACTCACCATTAATATTTCATTACTAAATGGTGAGTGCACAAAGTTGTTGTGTGTGTTTAGTGCACTCCTTTGTAAACATTTATTTCACCATGACTTATTAGAATTAGAATATGTTTTTGTGTGTATTTAAATTACACACACCTATAGAGATACTGAGGCTTCAAAAACTTGAATACTATATAAGGTATGAGCTTACCCATATTCATAGCCCATTTTCAACATAAGCTTTGACCCAATTCCAGAGGTATAACGTTCCCATTCCCCGATGGCAGAACTGCTTCCTGGTTGCCATAGTAACACAGGTGACTCACTACCCAGATGTTCTGGTGTTGAAGATGAGGATGCAGGTAGGGAGACTGCAGCATCATCCTCACTATCAGATAAAGAACTGTCAATATCTTCTATGGAATAGAAAAGAAACACACATTTTCTGGTATAAAAAATGATATGTTTTATGACATAAATATTATTTAAATTTAAATGTATTAAGATACAATTTCTTTTCTTCTTAAGTTGCAACTTTTAACATATATAACCCATAACATGCTTAAGCTTCAAAAACATAATCAAAAAGATAAGCGGGTTAAATTTAGCCGATTATCTGGACAAACTGGCAGTACAGTGTTTTCTGCTTGGAGTAACAATAATTTTAGAAGTAAAATTTTTAAAATTCAAAACTAAGCCTTCACACTGTTAATCACTATTTATTTACACACACTGAAATATAATTTATGGTAGGGTACAATCATTGCATTTATATCTATGGGAGGGATGGTGGCTAACGAATTTTAGACCTACAATATGATTTACTGGTTTTACTATTTCATTTACATTTTGACTTAAAAATATGAGATAATAAATTTCATTGACATACCGATTGGAAGAATACTTTCAAGGTTTAGTGTAGCAGTTTCATCATAGTTCTCATACTGTACTGTAATTTGGTGCTTTTCAAGATCTATTGCTTCAACTGTTGCTCGATGCCATACACTATCATCATACCTTGCTAAACACTTGCAGCCTGCCTTCAAGTTACTGCAATAAACACACATTAAGAACCATTTAAATTTATCTTTATTGATTTTTAAATTTCCACCCCATATTTTATTCAATCAATAAAATAAATACAGGTCTCCCTCCAATTAAAAACCACTTTCATGTGGTCCGAAATGAACAACTGTCTTATTTTTGTTATTCTAATTAGAGACCAAAGCTGCTAAAGTCCATAGAAACACTGATCCCAAAAGTGGTCTTAAATTGGAGGGAGTCCTGTAAAACAATTATACATACAGACACTGACTGATTTACTTACCTGAAATCAGGCTCCTTGAAACTTTCTAATTCAGTAACATTGGCAATGTGTCCGTGGGAGTATCTGCAATCTGTTTCGGAGAATTTGCATTTGCCTTCCAGGAAATACGGACATGGTACCATGGATATGTGGGTAGGGTTACAGAATAACACCCTTACTTTAACCTGTAAATATAATGAGTAACATGAGTAACTAGATTAGTCACTCCATAGATGGTGCATACCTCCGCAGACATGCCAACCCTACAAGGCCAACAAGAGGAGTTTGAAAAACTTCTGAGTGGAGTTTTGGCAATGTGAGAGAAGTATTCCTAAGACATGGTACCAATGTGATGGGATTGTAAAGTATGTAACCGTTTTGACTCACAACAGCAAAACCGCTGTGCAAGACTAGGCCCTAGGCCTAGGCAGGAAATCTAAACCACACCAAGCCTACCGTAGGCATCACCTACAGTAGTATTGATTTCAAACTGGCAGGATACTTTCTGTTATTAACTTGCATGTTTGTGTGTGTATTAACTTCTTTTTCGGAGGAAGCTCAACACTACTACTCGTTTTTCGGTACTGCCTAGGCCTACAGCCATATCGCTCTCATCGGACTCCATTTTCGAAATCGTGCTTTACTAGACTGTTGTTGTTACGAAATCAGTAGACCATGGAGCACCATTTCAGAGTGCAGTGCAAGTGCAACTCTGACATCAATTTGGCCAATAAAATTTGTTTTTTCGAAATAAGTAGACCGTGGAGCGCGAATGAATTTTTTGGATACAGTTCAGAGTGCAACTGCGACAGCAATTTGGTCAATGAAATTGGTTTTTTTCGAAATCAGTAGACCGTAGAGCGCGAATAACTATTTCGTATACAGTTCAGAGCACTGTTTTCAGGACGAAATTAAGTGGTCTTGTTCTAATCTAAATCATAGGATTATCCTTTTTATTTCGGAAATGCGCGATTTATTTCAGCTGGCCAAAATGTGTAAAAAGCGGAGATTTTCAACCCAAAATTGGAGTGCGGAGTTTTGCTTAAATAAACGAAGTAATCCGCCGAAATCAGAGTGGTTGGCATGTCTGCCTCCGCCCTGTACACGGGCCGTGAATGATGGGCGAATCCATTATTTTCCTCCCTGTGCCTGAATACAGAACAATAGCCAGGAAGTGTATGATGGGACCATTCCAGACAGAAGGCGGTGAATACATTCCTCCTTTGGCGGAGGTAATAAAAACATAAGATACACTACCTCCTGATTATCATCTGTGTTCTCAGTATTCAGAACTATTGCATTGTGGTATTGGGAAGCACCCCACTCTTGTGAATATAGCAGACGACACTGTGTCCCACATAACTCATCCTCAACCTCTTCTTCATTTTCTTCTGTATCATTTTCCTTTGGTGTATCATCAACATTTGTTACATCTGCTGATAAGCACTCCTTCAATTTAAGGTAATCAAATTATAAAAAATTAATCAATATTTTAAATTAATATATAGTTTAATTTAAATTTAATAACTAAAAATGATTTGGTAAGGTAATGAAATAAAGAAATGTTAAATTATGAAATATATGAATGTGGGTAATTTTCCCCAAATTTACCCGGAATGCTTCTAACTCTGCATCTAAATTGTCTTCGTTTTTGCTAGACTGCTCACCAGAAACTTCGTCAAGGAAATTTAACAATTTACTTTTCTTCAATGACAATAAACTTTCTGAAAAAAAAACCAAAAAACCATCGGTTTAAAGAAAAATTCTAAATTTGTAATCTGTTTGCACATATTGGGTAAGTACTGTATTAATGAGTGTGTAAGTGTTATAGGCAGTTTGTCACACTAAATGTTCCTACAATCATTTGTACTTGTAATTAATACATCATTAACACATATTTCAGTGTTGCAAAAACATTAGGTATGTGCTTGAATTTGCTGCAGGGGAAAACTTGACAATTATATCAAATATTATTTAAAATAATATAAATAATTGGTGGTTGACCACACCTCTTTATTACCGTACCTTCTGTCAACTTGATGACTTCTTGAAGGTCAGACTGTAGTTGTAAAAGATCACTCTTGTCTCCATCCAATCCATTAGTCAATGCTGCCTCAACTTGACTTAGCTTTTTGATGTAAAGAAATAATAAAAACTTTTTTTGGGGTAGGCCTAGGCCTACTTCATTTATAATTCGCCTACTAGGCCTAGGCCTATATGCAGTATTATCAATTAATTTGTTAATCAGAGGGATTTTCACTAAAAGGGTAAAGTCGACCTTCAGTTTCTATGATCATTTTACCCACTGGCACTCTAATTCCTCATTCAGCTTTCGTAAGCCCAGTGGCAGGGCTCAATCACAGCACGCGATCTAAGGGTCCGATCACCGTCTGGATGGTCGCCGTCGTCGGTGATGGCGGTAGGCCTACTACCTAAGCAGGGCCTAGGCTAGGCCCTAGATCAGTGCCCTAGATGCCCTGTAGCTAAACTAAACTAAGCTCATTACCACTCTCATATTTCTTAACATTTACCTGACTTTTATAAAGATCAATTGACCTCGCTAAAGTTTCTTCATCCATCTGATCTGATGTTTATTTTATCAACTGTTGACAAAATCGACAGGGCGCAGACATTTTGGTTTCTGAAGTTCAGGGTGACATGGGAATGTATAGCCATTGAGTGGTAGAGATTGATTAACCAAATCAACAAGACAGATTATATACAAACCTAAAAGCATTTTAGTATAGCATGATTTAAAATTTGATTTAAGAAATCATTCTTTTTTACATGTTGGACATAAAATTTAAAATATTATAAATTGCAAATGTTACGATCATTGATAAGAAAGTCAACCCCGGTTACCGACTACAGAGGGCGGGCGTGGGCAACAACAAGCCAAGGGTATGTCTAGTCACACGATGACTTTAAGTGCAACTACTGTAACCTGTACGCGAACACATTGATAATATTGTAGATATTTGCACGCGACACGTGTGAATACCCATACGTAATACATACAATAATTATAAAGAGAAGCGAGGTATATTTGGTATATACGGAAGCTTAAAGTGACCTTCCGAGTTTCCGAGTTTCCAAGATAATTATCTTGGAAACATGGAATAAACACTTATTAAGACGTCTTTCCGAGATAATTTATCTCGGAAAGACGTCTTTCCGAGATAAATTATCTCGGGAAGACGTCTTAATAAGTATTTATTCCATGTTTCCATGATAATTATCTTGGAAACTCGGAAACTCGGA